CTCCCGCATCACCTCACCCCCGTACTCAAGCGCCACGCTACAGCACCTCGCACCCAGAGAGGTGGAATCTCGGGGAATATGACCCCCCCCCATCTCATGCTTGCCAAGGTGGAGAAACACTGGAAAACAACGCGGGAGTCGCAGATGCACCCTAACTGGACCAGTTCATGCTTGGCCGGAGCCAGGCACGCTGTCTGCCGTATTCTGCTGCTCCGGAGCTTTGCAGCCGAGGCCCGAGCGCCCAGCATCCTGGGTCTTCGCACGAGGCGAGGATGCAGCCGCTCGTGAGTTTGGGGCTGAAAGGACAGGGCAATTCAGCGAGCAAATCTAGCACGTTGGGCGAAAGCAAAGCGATTCTTACCTTTGGTTTTCCCTTTGTGCTGTTCTGAAAGGTGGTCCGTCCGCGTCCGGGTGACGAGTTCTACGTTGGACGCCCCGTAAACCTGCCGACGAAGGGAGACGCTCTGCGTTCCTGCCGCGCCCTCGCCCGGGGCCCCTTCCCACCCCTCTGCCCATCAGCTCCTCCAGCGTCTGGTCCTCGAGCACCGGAGGTCTCACCTTGGCTTCGTACCCGTTCACCAACTCGGTCTTTTCGCTCCTCCAGCCTAAAATGCCCGTCTTGTTCCTGCGGGGAGAGAAGCAGCCGCCCCGAGAGAGACGTACACAGACCGCTCTGCCCTGCCCGGACGTGGCTCCGTTTCACCCTTCTTCAAAACGTGCCACTGTTTTCCCAGGGCATCTTGCAAATCGTTTATTATATGTATTGATTTGAATTTATTACAGCCGCTGAATTCCAGGGGACTCTGGGCAGCGCACAGAACCCAAGAAACCCATAAAAACAGATAAAACATCGAACCACGCAGACAGCTCAGACTGTTTTGCTTGATTTGTGCTGTTTATAAGATCGTTTTAGCCCGGGCTGTCCGTTTGGTTTGACGTTTTTATCTGTTTTTATGGATTTTCCAGTTTGGTACGCCACGCAGAGTCCCCTGGAATTGGGCGGCGGCACTAAATTTGAATAAATAAATCAAATTAAAAAATCAAATTAAAAAACGGTCTCATAAACAGCACAGATCAAACCAAACAGGGGCCCCAGCTAAACAAGAGAACTTTAAAATGTCAGTCCAGCAATGAAAATGACATGAAATGAATGAACATTCAGCAAGGAAGACTCAAAAGGCCAGCTGAAATACATTCTCCTGAGCAACCTATGCATGTAAATAGAAAACAGGAGATCTAACATTCGTTACAAACCACCATCGTAGCAGCAACGTGAACACAGTAATCGTTGAAAAGACCTTAAGAGATAAAATGTGGACGCCAAAGAGGGGGGAACGGTGGGGGGGGTAATATCACACAACGAAAGACGAGAAATGCACAACGTGTGATGCCAAAGGTCCATTCCCTACAGCAGAAACGGGCATCTTGGGGTGCGCAGCCCCCTCCCACATCAGGAGATCTGATGTTCCTTCCTGGGGCGGGGGGGGGGACTATGTGAACTACATACTATTACCTGAAAATGTTCCCCTGCCCGCTTGCAACAACAGGCAGACGGAAGAGATGCTCTGCTTTTATGGTAAAACAGTGTTTCTCAACCTTGGCATCTTTAAGATGTGTGGACTTCAACTCCCAGAATTCCCCAGCCAGCCAT